TTTTTTTTTTTTTTTTTTTTGAGACAGAGTCTTGCTCTTTCGCTAGGCTGGAGTGCAGTGGCATGATCTCAGCTCACTGCAACCTCCATCTCCCGGGTTCAAGCAATTTTCCTGCCTCAGCCTCCTGAGTAGCTGGGACTACAGGCATGTGCCACTGTGCCTAGCTAATTTTTGTATTTTTAGTAGAGATGGGGTTTCACCATGTTGGCCAGGATAGTCTCTAACTTTTGACCTGGTGATCTGCCTGTCTCGGCCTCCCAAAGTGCTGGGATTACAGGCGTAAGCCACTGCAACCATCTAATTTTGTATTTTTAGTAGAGATGGGGTTTCACCATGTTGGTCAGGCTGGTCTTGAACTCCTGACCTCAGGTGATCTGTCTGTCTTGGCCTCCCAAAGTGCTAGGATTACAGATGCTTTTAAGAGAAAGAAACACATCACAGAAAAACACTTCCGCTGGCCTGGAAGTAAGTGACTTCTAGGTGGGCCATGTTGTAAGCTGCTGATTGTGGCCACATGGCAGGAAATATATATTGCCATTCCTGCCTCCCACATGTTGCTTTCAGTAGGGAGGTCAGGAGAATCCCATCGCAGAGAACAAAAAGAGGATCTCATTTACAGAAGAAATAATCACCTATCACCTGGAATAGCATAAGATAAACAAAGGAGATCAAGACATGACTACATCAATGAGGAGAAAAAGGCAACCTGGCTGAAAGGACTCACTGGCATCATGAAGCCACATTAAGTAAGCTGTAGTGAATAGTCAGCCTCTGGGATACCAATAGTCTCCCCAGAAGGCTGAACTCATTCTAATAAAATCAGAATGTCTGCACCATTTTGGTGGCCAAGTGTTACTGTACGTGTTACAGAAATGTCATAAAGTCCAGTGGGTACTCTCCTAGAATTGAAGTCATTATGAAAAAGCATACCAGCTTGGTGCCTTGGCTCATGCCCATAATCCTAGTGATGCAGCATTATTGTCTGGGGTAAATCCCTGAGATTTGTTGTCTCATGGCCATGGAAAAGTAGAACATGGACACACACAGAGTTAGGTTCAGAGTGGATGTTTAATAGGCGAAAGAGAGAGAAGAGTTCTCTGCGGCAGAGAGGGGTCTTGAAGAAGTGGTAGCTGGTTCCATGGTGAAATGGCAGGTGTTTTATAGATGATCTTGACGAGGCAATGTCTGATTTACATAGGGCATGAAAGATGGGTTGGATTAGGTGTGCCATTTGTATACAGAGCAAAAAAATGGTTAGGACTAGTTGTGCCACTTGCATAAGTATGAAAATCTGGCCGCCCCCACACTCATTTTTTATTATGCAGATGAGTTTTCTGCCTGGCCAATGCCATGTTGCCTATTTCTTTAATGTACACACAGTGAGAAAAGGGAGGAAGGAGCCTCTGTGTTGAACATCACCAGCTCTCAGGTAACCCTTTTCTAAGGGCATAGCTGCTGGCATTTAAAAGTGCCAGCTTCCAGTTTGCTTATCTATGTTTGCAGCTCTAATTTTCAGGCTGCTTTTGGTTAAAAGGGAAACCTTGCCAGGAACTCTCTCACCTTCACGATGTGCCTAAACAATTTCTTTCTATCTTCTGTACCACTAGCATTTTGGGAGTTTGAGGTGGATGGATCATTTGAGCCCAGGAGTTTGAAATGAGCCTGGGCAAAATGACAAAAAACCATTTCCACTAAAAGTATAAAAATTGTCCGGCATGATGGCACACAGTTGTGTTCCCAGATACTAAGGAGTCTGAGGTGGGAAGATCACTTGAGCCTGGAAAATGGCGGCAGCAGTGAGGCGAGATTACACCACTGCATTCTAGCCTGGGTGACACAGTGAAACCCAGTCTCAAAAAAAGAGAAAAGGAAAAGCATACCTAATCATTTGTTTTCACAATTAAAAATCCTTGAAACCATAGTGAGCTTCTTCTAATTTTTATAGAGTTCTGCTATCCTGTACTATAATACTGAATTTTACTTATTTTATTTTATTTATTTATTTTTTTTAAAGATGAGGTTTCACCATGATGGCCAGGCTGGTCCTGAACTCCTGACCTCAGGTGATCCACCCACCTTGGCCTCCCAAAGTGCTAGGATTGCAGGCGCGAGCCACCACGCCAAGCCAATAATGAACTTTAAATACCTTAATAGAAATATTTTTTCTTTCTTTCTTTTTTTGAGATGGAGTCTCACTTTATCTTCCAAATTGGAGTGCAGTGGCAGGATCTTGGCTCACTTCAACATTTGTCTCCCAAGTTCACATGATTCTCCTGCCTCAGCCTCCCGAGTAGCTGGGATTACAGGCACACGCCATCACATCCGGCTAATTTTTGTATTTTTAGTAGAGATGGGGTTTCACCATGTTGGCAAGGCTGGTCTGGGACTCCTGACCTCAAATGATCCACTCATGTCAGCCTCCCAAAGTGTTAGGATTACAGGCATGAGCCCCCACACCCAGCCATAATATGAATATTTCCTGAATGCATAAATAGGTATGTAGTTTCTCTTAGAGTAACAAGGTAAAAGTAACAATTAAAGACAACATTTGAAATAGAATAACATTCATCAAAACCACATCTTTTCAATGGCTTGGCATAACTGCCATGTTTTCTGATTCAACAGATTACTAACAACAAGGAAAGACAAGAGTTTTGCTTTGCTCAATTATTAAGTTCTGGATCTTTTGAAATCTACAATCCTGGCTAAACAATTTGAAGGGAGAATTCTTTAGGTGCTTCCTAGGGTTTCCAAGGCAACAGAAGAATGTTCATAGGCAGGAAAATGGATGATACACATACATACTGTTCTTCTCTGATTTGCTTTCACATTTAAAAATTGAAAACTGTAAATCTAGTCTCTCAATTTAGAGTAAATTAGCATAAGATTTATTTTTCAACAAAGCAAATAATTGTAGAAAACTGATGGGTAACAAATGCCATTAGCCACCAAAAACAGTATGACCAGATTCAGAGTGTATCTAGCCATGCAAGCGACGGCCCGATTAAATGAAGACCTGGGAAGCGCATGTGGACAGAATTTCTGTGCAATGTGATGTACCTCTCCTCAGCACCTTCTTCTACCTGTGTACAGAGATACCAATTTCCCCTGAGTGACTCGAGGTAAATACAGGGAACTGAGAATGCTGTGTTCAGAGGGATTACTGGGAACATGGTTAACACACATTTACCATATTATAATGAAATTTATTTTTATTTTTTCAAGTGGAGTTTTGCTCTTGTTGCCCAGGCTGGAGTGCAATGGCGCGATCTCGGCTCACTGCAACCTCCGATTTCCGGGTTCAAACAATTCTCTTGCCTCAGCCTCCCAAGTAGCCGGGATTACAGGCAAGCACCACCACGCCCAGCTAATTTTGTATTTTTAGTAGAGACAAGAGTTCTCCATGTTGGTCAGGCTGGTCTTGAACTCCCGACCTCAGGTGATCCACCTGCCTCAAGCCTCCCAAAGTACTGGGATTACAGGTGTGAGCCACTGCGCGTGGCCTATAATGAAATTTTATGTACATACTTTGCTTCAGAAAGGCTTTTATTAAAATACTGTTTATCTACATTACTTAATTTAGATTCATGAAAAAGATAAATGACTTACCTGGTAAGTTCAGGTAGTAAATGTTGACAGATTCCATAAAACACACTTGAATGAGATAAAATCTTCTTAGCTAAACATTTTATCAATAAATTTAGGGAAAAATAGAAAATCAGTACTTTGTGTTAAATAACATTGTTCGGCACATGAGTACTACTCAAACGAGTGCTCTTCATCCATCATCTTTAAAATGGCAATAGCACCACGTGCTTTCCTGGCACTAGCTGGCTTGTTTTTAATTGGTGTAAAGTGAAGAAGGCATTGAAATAGAGAAGAAAGGTGATAGTAATTGAATACTTACATAAAATACATTTTTTTTTTTTTTTTGAAACAGAGTCTTGCTCTGTAACCCAGGCTGGAGTGCAATGACATACTCTCAGCTCACCACAACCTCCACCTCCCGGGTTCAAGCAATTCTCCTGCCTCAGCTTCCCAAGTAGCTGGGATTACAGGTGTGCGCCACCACACCTGGTTAACTTTTGTATTTTTAAGTAGAGACGGAGTTTCACCATGTTGGTCAGGCTGGTCTCAAACCCCTGACCTTGTGATCAGCCCGACTCAGCCTCCCAAAGTGCTGGGATCACAGGCATGAGCCACTGCGCCTGGCTTAAAATACAATTTTTAATAAAAAGTAGTATTTGGGTCAGGCACGGTGATTCACACCTGTAATCTCGCACTTTGAGAGGCTGAGGTGGGTGGAACACAAGGTCAGGAGCTCAAGACCAGCTTGCCCAACATGGTGAAACCCTGTCTCTCCCAAAAACACACAAAAATCAGTCAGGCGTGGTGGCAGGTGCCTGTAATTCCAGCTACTCAGGAGGCTGAGGCAGAAGAATCACTTGAACTCAGGAGGCAGAGGTTGCAATGAGCTGAGATCGTGCCACTGCACTCTACCTGGGTAACAGAGCAAGACTCCATCTCAAAAAAAAAAAAAAAAAAGCAGCAGCAGCAAATGTATCTTCTCAGCATCTCTTTTTAAATTTATTCACTGAAGAAATAGAAGAATGCAGATAGTTGATGAAAAATAATATGATTCCTCAAAGATGATGAAGAAGTCCTCTTAACCTGAAAAAAAAAAAAAAAAAAACCCACAGGGGATGGTGACATGAGCAGAAAATATATTATTTTTCTAAGCTTCTGATATTTCAGTATACAACTTGCATTGCTTTAACAAACATATAATTTCTTTGGTTTTGATTCTTCAGGATACAATTCCATTTCCTAGTAAATCAAAACTGAGAGACATAGGGAAGACCCATTACTTTTGACCCATGTCTGCTCCACCCCCAGCCCCAGGCAATCATCATCCTGCTCTCTGCTTCTATAGTTTTTTTTTTTTTTACACTCTACATAGAAATAATATTATGTGGGTTCTTTCCTATGCTGACTTATTTAGCATAATGTCCTTCAGGTTCATTGATGTTGCAAAAACAGGAGTTACTTCTTTTGAAGGGCTGAGTAGCATTTCATTGTGTAAATATACCACATTTTCGACATTCATTCACCTGTTAACACTTAGTTTGATTCCATACCTTAGGAGTAATTGTGAAGAATCCACTTTCTTTTTTAAAAAATTTTGTTTTCAGGGCCGGGCGCGGTGGCTCAAGCCTGTAATCCCAGCACTTTGGGAGGCCGAGGCGGGTGGATCACGAGGTCAAGAGATTGAGACCATCCTGGTCAACAAGGTGAAACCCCGTCTCTACTAAAAATACAAAAATTAGCTGGGCATGGTGGCGCACGCCTGTAGTCCCAGCTACTCGGGAGGCTGAGGCTGGAG